CAGTATTTTTCTTTTTTGTAATTGGCTTATTTTTCTTGGCATAATGTTCTCCAGGTTCATACATATGCAGCAGGTGTCTTCATTTTCTTCTAAGTCTGAATAATATTACACTGCACATATATATTACATTTTGTTTATCCATCTATCAATGGACACTTGAGTTTCCACCATTTGGCACTGTGAATAATGTTGCTATGCATATGGGTATAAAATATCTGAGAGTCTGCTTTCAACTCTTTTTTATGCATAACTCAAATTAGATTGCTGGATCATATGGTAATTTTATTTTTAATTTTTTGAAAAGCCACCACACTGTTTCCCATAGTGGGCTGCACCATTTTACCTTCCCACCACTAGTGCACAAGTGTTCCAATTTTTCCACATCCTCCCCAATATTTTTTGTTTGTTTTTTTGATAGTAACCATACTAATGCATGCAAGGTGGTAAGATTATTTCATGTCCTTCAGTCATAAGGACAATTTCAATTAATGTCCAAGAGCAAGCTAGTAATTGCCCCTCAAATGGAAATTTTCTAGTCCATAGTCCCAGTAGTCATTACTGTGGGGTGTTTACAGACTTTTGCTATAAGCCTCGGTTTATACTCCACATCAGTCTATGGTCCAGAGAACTCACTTATACAAGCACACAAGGTTTTATTCTATACTGTGTGGGCAATCTTAAAAGCATTTTTAACTGAAGTATAGTTAATTTACAGTGCTGTTAGTGTCAGGCATACAGCAAGGTGATGAACACATAATATATTCTTTTTCAGATTCTTTCCCATTAGAAGTTAGTACAAGATACTGAATATGGTTCCCTGACTATATAGTAGGTCCCTGTTATCTATCTACAGTATTTTATATATAGTAGTATGTATATATTAATCCCAAATTCCAAATGTATCCCTACTCTATTCCTTCCCCTTTGATAACCATAATTTGTTTTCTATGTAAATAAATTCACTTGTATAATTTTTTAGATTTCACATAGATAACATGATATTTTAATTTCTCTGATTGACTTCACTTAGTATTATAATCCCTAGGTTCATTCATGTTGTTGCAAATGGCATTTCATTCTTTTTATGGCGGAGTAGTATTTCATTATATATATATTCATCTGTTGATGGACATTTAGATTGCCTCCATGTCTTGGCTATTGTAAATAGTGCTGCTGTGAATATTGGGGTCCATGTGTGTTTTCAAATTAGAGTTTTCTCTGGATATATGCCCAGGAGTGGGATGGCTGGATCATATTGTAACTCTGTTTTTAGTTTAGTAAGGAACCCTTATACTGTTCTGTGTAGTGGCTGCACCAACTTATATTCCCACCAACAGGGTAGCAGTGTCTCCTTTTCTTCACACCCTCTCCAGCATTTATTATTTGTAGAATTTTTGAAGATGGCCATTTTTCTGAGGTGAGGTGGGACCTCATGATACTTTTCATTTGCATTTCTCTAATAATTAGTGATGTTGAGCATCTTTTCATGTGCCTATTGGACATCTTTATTTCTTCTTTGGAGAAATGTCTTTTTAGGTCTTCTGTGTGTGTATATAATATATATATATATGTATATATATATGGCTATTAAGCTGTATGAATTATTTGTATATTTTGGAATGTAATCTCTTATTGGTCATATCACTTGGGCTCAGGCGATCTTGTTTGCTCCCATTTAGCATGTCTGACTGATACTTCTTGAAGGGCAATTTACAGTACTAGGTAGGGGAAACATTCCTCATTAGATATAATTTCCATCCACATAATCCATTCAGATAAAAGAGACAAAGAGACTCAATCACTTAATGTAAAGCCTGTTTAAAAATTCCATTTCTCATCCAAACCTCCTCTTAAATTCTGTGAACCCTACATTTCTATATTCTCTCAATCTAATTGCAGCTCCAGTTATGGATCACCAGTGGGTTTTGATACTTGACAAGGAGCTTGAGGCTCTCTTGTGAAGGAGTCCCAGACAGACCCTTGGGACCACTGACATTTTAAAATGTCCAAAGGACCTAGGTAGTTTGTATGAAGGTGATAGCAGTGCATAAATAGTTAAGTAATGGGTTCTGGATGTATTGTGGGATCAGAGACTGATTATATGCAAAGGGCATTGTGAGAATGGGAGAAAATAGGAATCACTCCCCAGCAAACCCCTAAGTCAGTCAACAGAAAAATAGAAAAAATCAAATCAGTATAGTCATACGGTGACTAAAAAAGTCTAGCAAAAGTGCAGACAACTACTAATGTGTGCAATACATGGATGAATCTCAAAAATATACTGAGTGCCATAAGCCAGACACAGACGAGTTCATTCTATTTTTATTTCATTTCTGTAAAGTCTAAAAATAATCAAAACTAAATTATGGTTGATATGTCAGGAAACTGGTTATCTCTGAGAGGAAGATATTGTTTTGAAAGGCAGGAGGGAACCATTGGGGTGAACAACCATTATGGAGACAAATATATTATAAATCTTGATATACATCATCCATGTTTACATGGATGTACACATTAATAAAATTAATCAAACATTAAATTTAAGATTTTATAAGTAAACTTGTAAATTTTGTGTTTATAAGTTATCCCTCAATAAAAACATTAAACATAATCATTCTAAGAATAGAAATAGAAGACATAAATTCTTTCATATTATTAGAGAAAAAAGAAAGGAATAAAATGAAATCGTGATACAAGAGAGGGCAAGAAGGATGGAACAAAGAGGCAAGAAAGAAGTGGTTAAGAGACAACACACAATAAGCTGGCAGAAAAAAAATGGAAAAATATTGGGCTACATTAAGTATCAGACAAAACAAATTAAAAGATATGAATAATGAGGATCATTACATAATGAAGTCATTCACCAGAAACACACAGCAATTCTCAATCTTTATGTATTCAAGAATATAACTTTAAATTACATAAGGCAAAGTAGACACAAACATAAAGAGAAATTAACAAATCCACAATTATGGGATTTTAAAACAATTCTCAGTGATTGACAATGCTATCAAATGAAAAGTAAGTTAGAATAAGGAAGACTTGAACATCACTATACAAGGAAAGAACTGGACCTTAATATTTAGAGAATATACTTACCTCTCAAGCATATTAGACACACACAGGCACTCATGCAAGTTTTAGCCAACACCAACGTATGAATATCATATAGAACATGTTAAAAATAACACCAAAAATATCCATGTTTGTAAATTTTAAAAACATATTCTTTATAATTCATGAGTCAAGAAATAATGAAAATGAGAAAATGTTAGGAACTTAACAACAATGAAAATACCATGTACCACAGGTCAGGGCATGGTGCTAACTAGTAGTAGAGAATAAAATTTAAACTTAGATACAACAATTAGAAGAAACGTTTTTTTAAAACTCTTAATGCACTAAGTACCTTATCTAAAAATCCAGAATGAAAATAATACAGATTGCAAATCCAAAGAATATGGAAAGAAGGTAAAAAAGACAATAGCAGCAAATAAAATCAAAAGAGAGGATGAGCAAAGAGAAAGGCTAGTTCTTTCAAAAGATAAACTTCTGGCAAGAGTGATCACATAAAAGAGAGAAAGCAACAGGACATGGCTATTGAAAAAATAAATTTTAAAGTTGAACAAAAATGGTAACTTTAGAAAAAAGTATATCTTACAAAAACTAAGTCAAGAAGAAATTTTTAAAAATCTAACTAGACTGAAAAACTAAGAGAAATTTGGGCAAAAATCTCAGCTAGGTATGAGAGAGAAAATTATTGGCTAAGACCCTTTATGCTTAGAAATGTAAAATTTCTAAGTATGAACAAACAAAATTCGTTAATATATTTAAAAACAAATACATCCCAAACAGGTAAGTTTACTTCAGAAATATATTAATAGTGAATATACTAAAATTATATATTAATATTAAATAATAAACAATTGCTACTGTAAACTGTTGTGATGCATTTAAACTTTCACTTCCATTCATGAATGCTAAAAAAAAAAAATCTCAAAACCTTAGAAGAGCCCTTGTTAAAATCAGAAGCATCATAAAAATGCCTTTTACTACCCTTTTCAAGATTAAATGCCATTGCAATAAACAAATGTAGCATTATTCATAGAGTCAATATAGTAAAAAAAAAAAAAGGTTTTAGACCATTTACTCAGGACAAGAGAGTTCACTAATTTACTCTTCACACTTACTTCCATTCAGAGAATATCATAAGGAACAAATCTGAATTGTGTAATTCGTTTGAATGAACCCAGAATGTTTTGTTTTCCTGAGGTGTGCCTCTTCTCTCAAAATTAAGAGGTGAAGACTTTAGTGTTCCATGCTTGCTTAGGTGCTACTTTGACAGGTGTCTACGTGCTTTCATATTTGTCTTTACTTTGTCCCTGAGGTGACTTTCTGTTCAATAGTTATCTGAAAAGACAGTTTCAATACTACGCAACTACAAGTCCTTTGAAGGCTGAAAAACGAAAGAAAATGGAGAAGGGAAAGATGGTGCATCCAAAGAATGACTCCCTCTCCTTCCTGTTCTACCAGGGAACCTTCCACTTACCAAGTTCTCTCTTCCCCCTTGGCAATGCAAAATATCTTATTCTTAATACCTTTTACGTACAAAATTCATTTAAAAACTTTAAAATTGTTCTTATTCCATTTTTCGGTTAATTTTTCTGTTTGAATGTGGTTTCGGTAACTTGGATTGGAATGTATTAAAATTCTTTTTAAGAACAATGGGGAACATTTTTTGTTTCAACCTAACGGGTTTTCATTTTACAGCCGAGCTTTCAGGAGTGAACCGAAAAGAATTTAAGCCAAGGATAGGTTAATCAGCCGAAGTTTAACGACTGGAAAAAAAGGTACAAAACCGTCAACCTTCCTCGACGTCGGCGGGACTACGGCCCAGCACCACCAACCAATCACAACCAGCAAGAGCTGGGCAGGCTGCGGGAACCAGATCAGAGAGGCACAAACCCGAGCGTTCCGCCTGCGCAGGGAGGAGGGGGGGCGGGGCGAGAACTGCGGTTCCGGGGTTTCGCGACGACGAGCAGCCCGACCAGTAGGAGCCGCCCTCGACCAGCGGGCTCAGAAGGCACGACGACTGCTCGTCTTCTCCACACACCGCCCCAGACCGACCACCCGACCGGCAGACATGATGGAAGCGGATCGCCCGGGGAAGCTCTTCATTGGAGGGCTCAACCTCGAAACTGACGAGAAATCCCTCGAGGCTGCGTTTGGCAAGTATGGCCGCATCTCCGAGGTGCTGTTGATGAAAGATCGAGAAACCAACAAGTCCAGGGGCTTCGCGTTCATCACCTTCGAAAGTCCGGCAGACGCCAAGGCCGCCGTGAGAGACATGAACGGCAAGTCCCTGGATGGTAAGGCCATCAAGGTGGCCCAGGCCACCAAACCGGCTTTCGAAAGCGGCCGGCGGGGCCCACCCCTGTCCCGCAGCCGGGGCCGCTCGAGAGGCCTGCGCGGGGCCCGCGGCGGCGGCCCGCGGCGACCCCTGTCCCGCGGAGGGCCTGCGGATGACGGTGGCTACGGGGGCGACTTCGACCTGCGACCCTCCCGGGCCCCACTACCCATGAAGCGCGGGCCGCCGCCACCGCGGAGGGCCGGCCCACCCCCCAAGAGGGCCGCGCCGTCGGGCCTGGCTCGCAGCGGCAGCGGCGGCGGTGGAATGCGCGGGCGGGCCCCGGCCACACGAGGGCGAGATGGCTATGAGGGCCCGCCGCGCCGGGAGCCGCCGCCCCCGCGCCGGGATCCCTACCTGGGTTCCCGGGAGGGGGGCTACTCTCCCCGAGACGGCTACTCCAGCCGCGACTACCCAAGCGCCCGCGACCCCCGGGATTTTGCCCCCTCGCCCAGAGAGTATACCTACCGTGACTACGGCCACTCCAGCGTCCGGGATGAGTGTCCATCGAGAGGCTACGGTGACCGAGACGGCTACGGGGGGCGCGACCGCGACTACGCGGATCACTCGAGCGGAGGCTCCTACCGAGACCCCTTCGAGAGCTACGGGGACCCGCGCAGCGCCGCCCCCGCTCGTGGGCCCCCGCCATCTTATGGTGGCGGCGGCGGCCGCTACGAGGAGTACCGCGGCTGCTCGCCCGACGCCTATGGCGGCGGCCGCGACGGTTATGCTGGGGGCAGGAGTGAGCGCTATTCGGGGGGCCGCGACCGGGTAGGCAGAGCGGATCGCGGGCTGCCGCAGTCCGTGGAGAGGGGGTGCCCGCCCCCGCGCGAGTCTTACAGCCGGTCGGGCCGCCGGGTCCCCCGAGGCGGAGGCTGCCTGGGGAGCCGCTCGGAGAGAGGAGGAGGCCGGAGCAGATACTAAGACCTTGGGACCAAAACCAGGTTTTCAAAGAAGCTCCAGTGAAAAAGAGCCTGTTCTGTGGTAACTACCCAAGGACTAGTGCAAGGAAGAATTGTTTTTCACTTTTAAGACTTTCTGTTAACAACTTCTCCATGATTATTTTTGTGTGTGTGCATTTGAGAAGAAAAAGTTTAAACTTGTTTTGATTTCGTTCTGGAATTGTTAACGTTTCTTTCAACAAGCTCATTTAAAAGCATACGATTTGAACCTGCTTACTAGTTTTCTTATATTTCCAACTAGAAATTCTCGTAAAGGCTTCCTTCCTTCTAATTTTTCCTGATAAATGAAGCCGAAAGTTCTAAGATCTTTTACAAAGATCTGCTCACCTAAGATGGAAAATTGGATCATTCTTTACATTCAATCCAACTAGATTGGTGGGTTGAGTGGGAGGGATTGGTGTGTGCTACTCCTGAGATTTCAAGGTGTCTTTCAAACTAAATCTCAGTGTTACCTGTATTAAAAAGCAAACAATTGACAGCAACAACAGAAACCGCTTAGATCAGTATATGTAAAGAAAGAAAGTTCTATTCACAAGTAAGTCTTAAAAAAAAAATTGCTGGGCATATTTTGCCTTTTTTCATACTTTGAAATCTGCAGAATTTCCTATTCCCTTGCTCCCCAAATTACCACTCTTGTGTTGCACTAGGATGGAATACTATATTAAAGATTTGGCCAACCAACCACAAAGCTGCAAACCACCCCTCTTAAAATCAATACCATTCATTTTCACCACCAATTATTAAGAAACAAATAGAAAATATACCGTTGGTGGATTTGGAAATCCAAATGGCTTCTATTCTTAACTGCGAGCTACTGCCCTTTGGCTCTAGGAAATTGGAGAATTGGGCTTCTCCCCTCTAGGGGTAGAAGAATCAAAAGTAAGCATCATTAGAGCTCAGAAACTCAAAGAGCCCCTGAGAGCTTGGCATTTCAACATCTGATGAACTCAGTCTAGTATGAGGCACTTGGGTCTTCCTCTCCACAAAAGGCAAGGATATGAGTTGAGTGGTCCATACATTTATGGTGGGGAGAAGGGCTTGAACACAGATTTTAGAGGCTTCCTCCAAAGTGGCTCACAAAGGATGTGAGAGTCTCCTTTGTTTTGCCCCAAGTGCAGGGTAAGAAACATCTTTTCCATTCAGCTCCTGTGGAATTTCTCTATTTATCTGAAAGAAAGGTAATTTACAGTCAAAGGTCTGTAATGACCAAATGAAGAATCGGGTCAAAATATTAGGAGCCATGTTCAGTGTAGTAATTGCTGGAAAAACAAATGAACACATGAGCAACAACAAAAGTACTTAAAGAGATCTGAATATAACATATATGATTCTAAAAGCATGATTTTTTGATTAAATAATAAAGTGAGTGAGTTAAAGGAAAGGCTGTGGTAGTGGCCCAGAAGATCAAAGGCAACTAATAGCTCAATAAAAAAGTAATCCAGGAATTAATCTGGCAAAAATGTGTAAGACCTTTATGGCAAAAATGTTAAATTTTATTTAAGGACATAAAAGAAATCTAAATAAATGGAGATTCATGCTATGTCATGGTTGGGAAGGCTTTATCATAACTATTCTCAACCTTGCCAAATTAATTTGGAAAATCAGTACAACTTCAAGTGAAATTACAACATGATTTTTTTCCCCACACAGCTCCCCTCCCCTCTTTCCTAGTAATACCATATATTTGTGTTGATCAGCGATGGAATGCTAAATAAAAGATTTGGCCAAGCAACCACAAAACTGAAAAAAAAATAGCTCCTGTTCACTACCAACAAATTATCAAGAAACAGATTTTTTAAAAAGCACTAATGGGAGACTTAACTAATCCTAAAAGTTACATGGTCGAATAAAGAGAAAAGCAAAACAAAAAGCAAAGCAATTCTGAAAAAAAAAAAAAAAAATTAGAACTTACTCTATCAGATACCAAGACTTACTAGAAAATTCTAGTAATTTAAGCTGTGTGACATCTTTTGACAAATATAAGATCAGTAGACCAAAATAGCCTAGAAAGAGGCCAAGCTGTATGTGAAAATACATGATAGCTCTAAAAGTTGGTGAAAGGATGGACTTTTTTTAAATGGCTCTCTTTGCAAAAAGATAAAGGTGAGATTCTCTTAACAGCATACGCAAAAATACACTCTAGATGGTATGAAGATATAAATGTGATATGAAGAGGAAAAAAACACTTGAAGAAATATATCACACTGAGGTAGAGAGTTTCTTTAAGATAAAAAGCACAAACCTAGGAGGAAAATGTTGATACAGTTCTCCACATTAATATTTTTTTGTAATAAAGGTCACTGATAAAGTGAAATATTAAACCATAGATTGGAAGAATTGATTTGTGTTGAAATAATTTTGAAAACAGTACTTAGAAAATGAAAAAAAAAAGTGGGCAAAAGAACTTAACCTTTCTGATAGATGTGTAAATTGACACATTCACTTTGGAAATTATTTTGGCAATGCCTAGTACAGTTGGAGAACACATATCTACGACCCAGAAAATCTGCTTCAAGGAGAGGACCTAGAGAAATTTGCACATGTACACAAGGAGATATGTACAGGATTGGTCTTTACAACCCTTGAATGTTAAAAAGGTAGAAGGCCTATTGGAGAGGATCAACTGAGAGTCATTCTTACAGTGAAGTTCAATGTAGAAGCTAATGTGAATCAACCAGATCCACAAGTATCAACAGGTAAATATCAAAATATTTGTTGGGTGAAAAAGGCAAATTGCATAAATACAGGTATAGTTAAAAAAGATTGGAGTGATAACATAAAAATGATATTTAATGTCAGGAGGAAAGGATGGGATGAGGACTGAACTTTAGGTGAATTGTAGTGTTTTATCTCTTTAAAAAGAGATGAATTTTAAGCAAAAATGACAATGTTATCTTAATTTCTATAGTCTATGCTTTGGCATATTATTGTATAATTTCAAAATGCTTTACAAATGTTAGTAAGAAAAGTAGAGCTTAGTAAGCATTAGAATATAATGACTACATATATATATATATTTTTTTAAAGTTAGCTATTGAATATTATTCTGAAATGGTCTTATCTTGACAGTGATCCTCCCTCCCAGCTTTGTTCTTTCTTTGTGGGTGATGCCTTACTCTATTTGACTCAATTTATAGAACCTTCCTTTACTAGACTGTGTTCATGGCCAGCTCATGTACAAGGGTAGAACTTTTATATCTGAGAACCAAATCTTAGATGAAAATACAGTTTTCCCTTTCATATTCTTTTTAAAGTATAATATCAGTGAAAACCTTTTTTACCAGTTAGCAGAATAGTTACTTCTAAAGAGCAATGTTATGACTATTGAAACTGCTAATAAATAGCTTTTTTAAAAGTGACATGCAAACGTTAGGAAATAAAGACTTAGCCAGAACTTAAATGAGCTCAAGAGGTCATAGATTACAAACGCTGTGGGTTTCTCATGTATGTATATAGTATAACATGCAGTATTTCCTCAGTGCAAATTAATGTATTAAAACTAACTTTGTAGGAAAGTGTGCAAGAGAGCTAGTCAATTAAGATCTTGTTCATATCTCTTTCATGAGAGAGGGGGAGAGATGGGGGGAGCACATGAGTGCCAATCAGCTGTTTTGCAAGACTGATTCACTGGGTATAACTTAAGGAACGTGCATCTCATAACCAAAACTTTTATGTTCTCTGTCTTGAACTTGTCTCAGCCTGTTTCTGAGACCCTTTCTCCACATTCCTTCTGTCCAAAAGGGTTCCAGAGGCATCCAAACTGTCCATGTGACAGCTGACAGTATTGTTTACTATTTCCTTATCAGGTGAGGCCCAAACTCTTCCATCTCTGATTGCAACCTGAACCCTGGGGTTTTAGAGTTCTGGAGAGATACTTGTTTCCTGTAGATCAATAGCTCCCCTTTACACCCTGCCTCAGGACAGGTAAGATGGAGAATTTTCTGGCTGCATTTTTCCAACCTGGGACCTCTCTAACATTCTTGACCTTAAGTTTATGTGGGGTCCGTGCTGCCTCCCTTTTTAGCCTTTACCTTAAATGTTATGTGATTATCCTTCTCTTTCTATAGAGAAGTTTCCTCTTGGTGGACGGTTAAACTCTGTTCTCCTCTTTGGATCATTTCTCAAGCTCAGCAAGCAGACTGTTGCTTTTGCTGTGCACACTTGAAATCCAGTGGTGGTGGAAATCCTTTCAGAACCTCAGTGTTCTGTTTGCATTGATGTTATTTCTGAAGTTAATTTATCTCATAATGTAGCACATCTAAGAACTCTTTAAAGATTATTATGAGTCCAGATATTTTGTGGGTGACATTGAACATGAATATCAAGTACAAAAGTAAATTAACTCTAAAGGAGGTACAGAGCAATGATGACCATGTGGAATGTATTCCACTGTCATATTTACAAAATACTGAAGAAGAATGAAGAATCTGAGGGTGTGTTATAAATTTTTAGGGAGGAAATTGGGAAAAAATAGTATTGCTTCCCCATAATGTTTGGAGGCTCCTTGTTAGAGTAGAAAGGTACATTCTGGTCACAGTAAGTCACAGAGTCCTCATCCTGTTATTTGATTTGGGCAATTACCTTCTATAAATTTGACCTTTGGTTTTTTTCATATGCCAGTGCCAGTAACCATAGAGTTTAAAATAAGGCATGTAAGCACACAGCATGGTGCCTGAAATGATTGGGGTTCATTAAGTGGTAGTGCCACAGCATGCTACACACAGCAATAGCAGTTTATTGTTGCCATTGACTAGTAAAACTGCTTATGTATTAGAAGTCTTCAGGATAGTTCAACTGGAGAGTTTAACTGTATTTATTTGCTCACCTTGAAATCTTGAAGATGTACTTGACTCTTTATGCCCCAACTTACATCCTGCTGCCTCTGCCTTCTTAACAGCTAAGGTGACCAAGAACCTGCATCACCAGGCTCAGTGTTCCATCCCTAACCAGTCTGGAATGAGGCAGATACATGTTACTGTCAAGATAATTCCTTCAGGGAAGGGAGTCAGGAGGGTGAGGGGGATGAAATAGGTGAACAGGATTAAGAGGAACAAGCCTCCAGTTCTAAAATAAATAAGCCACAGGATTGTAACATGCATCATTAGGCATACAGTCAAGAATACCGTACTAATGTTACATTGGGACACACTGTTCTTACTAAGTCACTTCAGATGTGTCTGACTCTGACCCTATGGACTGTAACCTGCCAGGCT